ATAGATAGATAGATAGATAGATAGACAGACAGATAAATAGATAGATAGATAGATAGATGGATAGATAGATGGATAATTGATACAGTTGGGTATTTCAGTAAATATATAGATTCACATTTTTCGTGTATACATAAACATTATAAAACAGACCATAAGCGACGAGAATTTGTTGTTTTTCTGCCATGTTTACTTTTTACGTTTTAAAACTCGGCTCAGAAATCGTTTTGGACGTTTTGACGTCAGATCAAATGTTCGAGGTGAAACGCGGTAAAACCGTTTGAATAAAAAAGAGCAGGTCGCTGATTGAGAACAAAGAAACGCGGCGGGCAGCGCAAACACAAGCTCTTCTCCTCCACATCTGTGTCAGAGCATCAGGTTGGCAAACAGCTGCAACACACGGAGGCTGAAGTGACGGAGACACAAACCCCGTCTGTGTTTAGTGCGATGAAAGACATTTCTACATGTGTGTGTGCGTGAGTGCGATGGAGAAGAACAAGAGTTACCTTCGTGGTTAGTTTCCTCGCAGGGAGCTGAGCATCTCTGTGCCTCGCACCGAGTCAGTGTTGGTTTCAGCACCGCGGACAGCTCCTCACGCTATTAGAGGAAGCACCTGACTCGTGCGTCACACACACACACACACACACACACAGAGAGAAGGGAGGGGGGGGGGGGGGGCGTATACGCATATACTCAGCCACGCACACAGCAGACACACGCACGCGCCGGTGATTTGAGTCAGCCAAAGCAACAACAGAAAAGTGCTTCGCTCTTTGAATATGAACTGAAATAGTTTGGAGGCAGCACAATGTCTCTCTGTCGCATCTCATGGTGAAATGAATGAATTCATAATGAGGCTATAATTAGGAGACAGTGAGGGGAAATGAGTGGTGTGTGACTTCCTCTGCTTCTTTATGAAATACAGTCTGCAGCCTGTCATGTTGATACACATGCCTGTTTGACATATGACGACATGTTGTGGTAGAAAGCTGCTTAAAGTCATATAATTCACATTTTGCTGTTTTCTTCTTGCTAAATCACTGAATAAATTCTGTTAAATTGCTGAACAAATGTTGTTAAGGTTCATATTGGGCACAGAACAATGCTGAATGGAGGCTATCAGAGGAAGTTCACATTGTTTCACATTTAGACTCATGGGCATTTTCCTATAGTAGAAAACAGTGTTGTGTCTCTGCTGCGGCACTGAGGGATAGAGACAGTTGAAGTCCACCGATGACTCACATATGGACTCCGCCAAAGCCTGAGACGGGCGGGGTGACAGAGGGGCTGCTGCAGAGGAGTGTTTGTGTGTGTGTTAGTGTGTGTCTGTGTGTGTGTGTGTGTGTGTGTGTGTGTGTGTGTGTGTGTGTGTGTGTGTGTGTGTGTGTCTGTGTGAGACAGAGAGAGAGAGAGAACTTTTGACGTCAGCCAGGGACGCTGTGGTCTCTATTTTTGGCTGCTGGTCAAATCTGTGTATGTGTGTGTGTATGTGTGTGTGTGTGTGTGTGTGTGTGTGTGTGTGTGTGTGTGTGTGTGTGGTTGCTTGCACTTCCATTCATAAAGCCCTTGTTGCTGTATTTGATGTGAGTTCAGGCTATCACTGACCTGTCTGATATTCGGTGGCACATTGTGAGCAGTTCTCTGTATAAAGTAACACAGAGTGCCAGTTTTGTAGTGATAAGGCCGGAGCTGTCTGGCTAATTGCTTGTGGTTGTGTCTGTGGCAGGATTACTGGTAAACAGAAACCAATTACAGCTCAGTGCCACCCCCACTTCCACAAAAAACACACACTCACACACACACACACACACACACACACACACACAAAAGGTTTATCTCAATTTCATATGAGAACTTTTTTACTGGCAGTTACTGGTTTTCTGCTCCAAACATATTTTTCACAGCAGTGCGGTGTGACTGTTTGGGGTTAAATTTTTAAAATCGGAGATTTCGCCAGCGCAGGAAGTGGTACATGTACTTTCACTGCAGAATATAGTTTTCTTTTAAGGTGTATGAAAGTGATGGTGTGGCTCTTGTTTGGGTTCCGGTCTGGTACAAGTGAAGTTTGAACAGAACAACCAATGCTAAATAATAAAACTTGAGAATTTACCCTCGCCTTTCTGTGAGCTTCAATGAAGATGACATTTGCTATCATCTCTGATGTCTGCAGGGATTCCTCAAGTCAACTCCACTGAG